CACTCCAGGGTCACCAATCATCAAAAGCGAGCTGGCTTCAAAGGGTTTAATTAAACCTATCCTAATCAGCTTCCACAATCATATTGTATCGATGACTAAACAGATTTCGGCGTTAAAAACCAAAATTGCAAAAACGAAAGATAGAAAACCAGGTTTCTATCATTCTACAACTTTCCATAACATCGAACGCATGACCAAGGACTGTGTAGACAGCCTTGAAAAAAGTATGCACGATGGCATAGTAAAATATGTTTTGGAAAAGTTAAACAATAGCCTAAATGAGTTTCAAAACCGAATGAGTGAAGAAGCTTTGACCTCAAAAATTAAGAAAAATTTCTCTAGATTCTAATGACTGTTCCCAGACTGCCAAAATCTTTATTGATAAATAGAGATACAATGTACAAGGATTGCATGCTGCAAATCCAAAATTCTTTGGCTTGGGTAAATAATAATGTTGTTGTTATAATTCTATAAGAATAATAATACTAAACAATCCTTTCATATAGGCATCCACAAGTCACGTAGTGATGGAGACAGCAAGGAGGGAAAAAAGAACTTATTTGGGGATAGCAATAGACGAAATAATCATTTCGAAGTCTCACCCAAAGAAATAAAAAATACAACAACAACAACCAAAAAACAAAAAACCCACCGTCGGCCTAAAAAGAAAACCCAACAAAGGGAAAGGCAAGACAACAAAGAGGTATTTGTTAACAATATCTCCTGTATTATCTGGAGCATATGGTTTTACAAATGATGAGATAAAGCAAACATTTGGAAACTTATTAGATAAATTTGGTAGTAATAAACAAGAAGTGTTGTCCAACTTTTAGGAAAAATACAATGGCTACTCTTGGGATGCCAATATCAAGGTGTATAATCCATATAGTATATGTATGTTTTTTAATTGTTCAAAGTTTTTGAACTACTGGATTCAAAAGGGAAAAACCAGCCTCTTAGCCAAGTTGATCAGTATTAAGCATGTTAAGGATATTGCAGATGAAATTAAAATCAATGAAAATTCAATTGTACCTGTTAGTATTGCAGATATACAGAAATCATCCACATTCCCTGTATTGTTGTTTTTTCAAACTGGTTATTTGACTATCAAACAACAAGAAGGAACAAATTTAGTTCTTGAAATTCCAAACACAGAAGTATGTGAGTCTTTGATGGGTGAACTTTGGGCTAACTTTGACGATACTTCATTAGAAACAGCATTTAATTGAACTAAAACACTGACAGATAAGATAAGTTCTGATGTAATTTAATAGGGATTTGGGAACCATCCCATACAATACTACTAATAAAGCACCAAACTATGAAGGTTATTATCATTCACATATGCATATGTTGGTATGTTATATTGGCCAGCCATTTTGTAGTGAGGATGCTACAAGTAAAGGTCAAAATGATATGTGGGTAGAAACAAGTAAAGCTATTTGTTTAGATACAAAATTCTGATTGGCTAATTTGAATTTCACGTGCCTAGAGCTCCGAACGAGTCGGGTCGGGTCGGGTCAGTGGTTCAACCCGACCCGACTCGAACTTTTAAACAGTTGA